ATGCGGGGGGCAGGGCGGATGAGGGGGGCGGGCCTCTGGTATGGGGCTGGGGTGGAGGCGGTGGTTGGTGCGGGGGCTCCCTGAGGGGAAAGCGCCCTTGTGTAGGAGGTTCCCCTGGGGACTGGTGTCCTCTGCCTGCTCCAGCAGCCCCCAGGAATAGGGTGGACATGCAGACTGAGGAATGGCTCCAGGGCTCAGAGTTTCAGAGACCAGTCTCTGGCCAGTTCTCTGCCCGCCTGTGTCCAGGGTCCCCTGATGCCCTGCAGGCTGGGACCTGCCCAATTCAGAGGGTCTCCCGGGGACTGTCTGGCCCCCACTGCACCCGTGCCAGGGCCTCACCTCCACCCTCCAAGCGTTCCCCCCACCCTCAGTGAGCAAGGGACCATGACAAGGACAGTGCTCCGGCCAGTGTCCAAGGGTCCAGTGAGCACGCACTGCGGGCCCCTCCTCTGGAACAGGCCCTGAGGGTCTGAGACGCAGCCCACTGGGGCTGGGGGTGTAGACTCAGACCCCCAACTTTGAGACGTTCTTACCTCTGAGCCTTTGGAGGCAGAGCTTTGGTCAGAAGCTTCGAATGTCTGTTCAGGGAGGATTCTCCAGAGAGACAACCAGAGGAGACCCATTTGCCCTTGAATATTTCACCCCCTCCGTCTTCTCGGGTCTGTCTCAGGAGACTGTGGGGTCCTATTTGGGGGCAGGCCGGCAGGCTGGAAACCCAGGCGGGAGCTGCTGGTCCCGAGACGGACCCCTCCTCCCTCGTGGGCTGGAGGAGGCCTCCACACCGCCGAGGGCAGCTCGGTGCTACCACGGCAGGCGTGAACTCGGCATGGCTACAAACACCCTGTGACATCTCGGTGAGTGTTCGACTACCAGGGGCTGCGGCCTTGCCAGGTGACACAAAGCCAACTGCCGCCGTGGCTGCCTTGGTTTGCTTTTTTACTTGAAGACTTGAGTCTGTCTGGATTCTGATCTGTGGCTGAGGCAGAGACACAGCCCCGACCCCTGACCACAGAGCCGACCAGGCAGATGGGGTGGGGCCGGAGCCCACTTGACTGGCCCCCGGGAGGGGCTGCTCGCCGGCCCAGCCACCCGCCTACCCCTCGGGCAGCTGTGAGGTGCGGGGCAGGGAAGGGCCAAAGGCACAGAGGGGACAGCAGCTGTGGTCGGTTCAGCCGGAAACGGTCCCTTTAACGAAGACCAGGAGAGCTCTACTGCTTAGACTTAAGGGAAACTTTATTTACTCTTCCTAAAGCAGCCTAGTTTAAAAACGAGTTGAGGTTAACAGAGAAGAAAAACCCAGACAGGCAGACACACACACAGACAGACGGGGGGACGGCACAGGTCGGCGCTGCCACATCAGATTCTCTCACAGACAGACACACAGACAGACGGGGGGACGGCACAGGTCGGCGCTGCCGCATCAGATTCTCTCCATCTTGGAAATTAGGTCGTCACAGATTCTGGTCAGTTCGTCGTTTTCTTTAGTCTGAAGGACGAGAATCAAATCTCTATGTCTGCCAGCGCTCGGAGCTTCTAGAACCAGGAGGGCTGCTCTTCCCCCACTCCGCCTGGACCCGTGGGTCCCCTGTGCCCACCTTCTGCTCGACGACCTTCTCCAGCGAGTGGACGCGCATCTGCTCCTTCCTCAGGCCTGCCTGCAGTGCCAGGGCCTCCGCTTGGGCCTTGCTCCGGACCTGGGTGATCTCCTCGTTCGCCCTGGAGCGGCAGAGCGGCTGGGCTGAGCCCACGGGGGCCCCGGCGCCTCCCGAGGGAGCCTCCTGCGCCCTCCCGGCCGACACTCACAGCTGGAGCTTCTCCTCTGCGTGGGCCTTCAGCGCCTGGTACCTCTGGCCCTCCTTCTCGATCCTGCCTACGCAACCCTCTAGGCACTTCTTTAGAGACGCTTCGTTCTGGGGGGACGAGCACACGCTGGGCCCTGAGCTGACGGCCCGGGCTCTCTGGGTCACTCGCAGGGCAGCAGTGGGCTAGGCTACAGCGGAGGAACTCTTCCCTTTTCCTTCCGGAGACGGCCAGCACTCACACAGCCCCAGGCCTCCTCTCATCCCGCGGCTCAGGAGGCCTCCGCATGCGGGGCCTCACCCCCCGCCCCCGAGGGGACCCTGCCTGGCACACAAGAGCCCTATGTCCAGGCACCTGGGGGGAAGCAGGCCGGGCCCCAGGTCCACGGAACAGCCCCTGCCCTCCTGCCCCCCAGCCCTGTGCTCTGGGGGCCGGGTCTCCTGCTGCCCCAGGAGGGAGAGCAGCGGCAGGGAACATCTGGACACAGCAGTCCCTGTGCAGGCCACACAGGGACAGCCTCGCGGGCACTCATGTCCGGCAGTAGGCGACAAAGCCGAGAGTTGAGAGTGCAGGGAGGAGGGTTGGAGCCTGGGGCCCACACCCCCGGGGGGGCCTCCTTTCTTCCCAGACTCAACACCAAGGCTCAGCTCACCCCCACTTCCTGCAGTGCCCCCAGCCTCTCCCCATCACTGCTCGTCACGCTGCCCCACTGGCAACAATGCTGACCCCGCCGTCCCCGGGGCCTCTCACCGGCCGGGCACCCACCGTGCGGTAGCCTTCGATCACTTCCTTCTGTTTCTCAAACCGCTTGAAGAGGTCGGAGAACGACTTCTCCGTGGAGTGCAGGTCTGCAGTCAGCTGGTCTCTGTCCCTCAGAACCTTCTGGATCTCGGCTTTGGCAAGTTCCTTCTGTTTCTGAGCCTCCTCTTAAAGGAAGACCAGCACCCGGAATCAGCAGGCGGCCAGCAGGTGGCGCCACAGACGACCAGCGCCAGGAGGGCCCCCTGGGGCGCTGACCAGCCCTCCTCTCGGGACCTTCCAGGGCAGGACCTGGGGGCCCCAAGTGCCCCGAAAACAGCGGTTTCCTCAACACCAGCTCCACCCGGACGCCGAGGGAGCGGACAACGAACCCAGGGCCTGACTGAAGAGCCCAGGCCACACCTACCCCACGTTCAGGGCCTCCAGCCCCAGCCCGGACACACCCGGTGCCCAGCACCCACTGGAGGGACCCAATCTGTTCACTGCCACAGCCCTGGATGCCAACTCGGGGCCCGGCCAACCTGAGGGCTGATAAGCACCCGGGGCCTGGCACCCCCCAGCCTCCCTGACTGCCAGCTGCCCCAGCCCAGGGACTCACCCATCGCCTGGTACACGGTCCCCTCAAACGCATCCATGATTTTCCTGTGGGAGGGGAGCGGAAAGCAGACGCCGTGAGCCCCGAGAGCGCGTCGCGGGGCCCTGGGCAGCCAGTGCGCAGACTCACCCCATCTCCAGGATCTTTTCCTGCAGCGCCGTGCACCTGACCCTGAGCGCCTCGTTCTCCTTCTGTGTCGCCCCAACCTGTGCAGACCGCACACCCGAGTTGGCGCCAGTGTCCTCCCGTACTGGGGTCTCCTGCCGCACTCGGCAGACGTCGCAGTGCTGGGGGGTTGGCGTGCGGTGGGTGCGCGGGTGGGACACCTCCCGACACAGGCGGGGCGGTAGAGCAGCGTGTGGGGGAGAGCCCTGCGGCAGAGAGGACACCGCCCGAAGACGGCGGGCAGGGCCCAGGAGCTGCTGGGCCCAGTGCAGCCCGGCGCACAGGCCTCCCTGAGAGGGGACCAGCCGGACGCCACCCAGGGCATCACCAAAGCAGCAAGGGGGCTTGGGGGCCGCTACCCGCTGGGCAGCTCAGAGCAGACACCCAGACCCTCGCTTGCAAATAGGTTCTGCAAGACACTGGGTGGAAACGCAGGACACTCAGCTGCCTGGGCGCCTGGCTCGGGGGTCGGTGAGTGGCCGCCTGCGATCCTGCCTGCACGGTGTGAGCAAAAGGCCAGCGCACAGAGCTGCCACCCCCGCTCCCCGAGGCTCTTCAGAGCAGCCTGCAGGCGCCACGCCCAGGGCTGCAGCCAGCAGGTGGGGGCCGCTCGCTGGGCACCTCCCCTCACCCCCCCTTGCCCTCACCGCAGTGTCCAGGTCCTTCTGGCTGTACTGCAGCACATCCACAATGGGCCCCACGGGCAGCAGCGGAGCCCTGGGTCCAAGGTCACAAGGAGCTGGGCCGAGCGTCTGCAGGGCGACAGAGACCAGCTGGGCCACAAGCTCCCCTGGCACTCCTCTCTGCCCCATCGGCTCCCCAGATGGCACAGTGCAGCCCCCCTCCGCCCAACGGACCCTTTAAGCCTTCAGATCCACAGCACGTGAAAGCCGGGCCATTAGAACAGGTGTCTCTTTACACCACAGAGTGGACAAACCACTTACGGGAACGTCCGGGGCTCCTGCGAAGTCCAGGTCCAGCAGCTGGGCCTCCGGGGGGCTTCCCGAGGAATGCGCGTCTGTGCCCCGTGCACTGAGACCAAAAGAGAACACGCATGCTGTCTGCGTGCGTAGGGGTCGGCTCAGACTCTCCCCCAGGGCCACGGGGTCAATATTCGGGACACGTGGGCCATGTGGCCCATCAGGCTGCCCACCTCTGCTGTCGGAGGGGCTGCACGGGCACAGAAGAGCACAGACCCGCTTATAAACTTGTTTACGAGCTCGGCCAGGGCAGCTGGGGCCCGGCCACTGTCTCTGCCCCCCTCCCTGCGGCAGGGCACTCCCATCGTCACATGGCCTGCGTGGATCGGATTCCCGCCCGCCCCAGCGCACCTGCTGGGCTCCGGGGCCACAGGCGCCAGCCCCCGGGGGCTGTCCTGCAGGAGCGGGTCAAACTTAAGGTACAAGGACTGCTTCCTCAGGGCCGACTCCTTAAACTGCAGGGAAGAAAACAGGGTCACCGGTGCCCCCGACACGACAGCCTCCATGCCCCGCCCCACGTCCCACCCGGGAGCCGCCCTGACCCGAGTGGCCTGCGGGGCAGAGCAGCGGAAGCAGCCGGGCTGCCCGCCACGTCTGCTCAGACGTGGACACCGATCGCGGTTGAGGAATCGCGGCCCGGGGCTGTTCTAGAAAGAGCCCCTTTTGAGACTGGCACTTGAGGAAAGGCCGCCGCGAAGGCGCCGGGAACTTACCGAGGATGCCCCGAACTGCTCCAGGTAATCCACCTCGGCCCCCGTGCCTAGAACTGAAAGGGAGGTGCCAGCTGCCAGCCGCATCCCACGGGCCCGGGTGTGCGGGGGACACTGAGGCCAGCTCGGCACCCCGTCGCCAGCACTCGGGCTGTGCACTCGGAGCGGCACCCCTCCCCGTCCACCCTTGACTGATGGCCCTTTGCCATAGGGCGGGGTTGCTCAGGACGCTTGGGGCTGGATGGTTCCGTGGGGCCGTGCCGTGTTGCGCAGGGTGTTGACAGCACCCCCAGGGGCGTGACAACCAAAAGTGTCCCCTGGGGTCCAAATCGCCCTGGTTGAGAACCACTGTGTAGAACCACACTGAAAGAGTCCTTTAATTTCTGATAATACGACCTTTGCTTAAAAAACCTAAGGGTAACTCACACCATAGACAAAAATTAACTCAAAATGGATCAAAGACCTAAATCTATGAGCTAAAACCATAAAGTTCTTAGAAGGGAACAGGAGGGCAAATCTCCATGACACTGGATTTGGCAAAATGATTTCTCAGAATTGACACCAAAAGCACAAGCAGCAACAAAATGGATTGGGCTGGAAGGTTAACATTTGTGCTTCCAAGGACACCAACGAGAAAGTGAAGAGAGGGACTTCCCTGGTGGTCCAGTGGTTAAGCATCTGCCTGCAGGGGACGTGGGTTCGATCCCTGGTTGGGGAACTAGGATCCCACATGCCGCGGAGCAACTAAGCCCGTGTGCCACTACAGAGCCCGGGTGCCCTCATGAAGATCCTGAGTACCGCAACTAAGACCCGATGAGCCAAATGAAGAAAGAAAGAAAGAATTTTTGGGAATCATGTGCCCAAAGGAGAATTCTTACCTAGATTATACAAGAAATCTTTACAACTCAATAAAAAAAAAAAAACTAAATTAAAAAACCGGCAAAGGATCCGAGCAGATGCTTCTCCAAAGAAGAGACATGAAAGGTCAATGTCAGTCAGCAAGGAAACAGACCCAAACACGCCGAGACTGCACTGCACGCCCACCGGGACAGTGGGGTGCAGACCTGGACCCTCAAACGATGCGGGGGCAGAGTAGAGGGTGCGGACCCCGTGCGGAACAGCTGGACAGCTCCTCAAACAGTTATACAGTGTTACCACGTCCCCTTCAGGGTACGTCTGCCCCAACATATGCTCACACAAAACGTGTACGTGAGTGTTCCCAGCAGCCTCGTTCATACGAGCCAAAGAGTGGAAACCAACTGGTAAAAGAAACAAGATGCGGTCTATCCACACGGAGGATATTACTCAGCCATAAAAGGAAGTCCTCACACAATGTGACACAAGGGACTTGGAAACGTCACAGGATACAAATCCCAAGTCACGTGTCTCCAGGGTCCCTGGCCGGGGAGCAGGCTGCCCCAGTGGAGCTGATCCACGGTTCCTGGTCCCGCCCGCACAGGGAGGACTCCACAACGGCTCTGCCACACAGAAACCCTACACTCCTCTCCTGCCTTCTCTAGGCCTGGGGGTTTTAAGTAACCAAAACTGAGATCCTGGCACGCTGCCTCCTGTCCTATAAAGCGCCTCAGTTGGAAGTCCTCACTGAAGGCAGCTCAGACCCGCGACTCTTCCACCCCCTCATCCTGGGTGCGTGACGGGCAGGGCTTCTCCTTTTATCTCTACAGGGTCTCATTTCAAACAGCACTTCGATTCAGCAAGTGCCCGCTGCCTCCTGTGTCTGTATCTGTACCGCCTGGGTCAGTCAGGTTTGCTGCCTGTTTTTCTAAGTTGGCCTAAAATATATATTTTTTTAATATCACAGATATTAGTCCTGTTCTCCTAAAAATGCCCATAGTCTGATAAACCAGAAGTTTCCATGTGAATCACTAAAGTCAGGGGACGGCGCTGCCTGCAGAATGACCGCCTGTGGGTGCCACGGAACACGGTTCTAGCATCCTGGCCTCGAGGATGGGTGAATGACGTACCCTCGGCGGGGTCCCAGAAGTGCTCCCCGCTCAGGCTCAGTCCGGGCTCCGGCCCCCGGGGGGGTGCGGGTGTGGGGTCAGTGGGCACGGTTGGCGGCTTGCTGCCTGGGCTGCTGGTTGGAGCTGATGCCCCCGAAGCGTCTGCGGTCCCCTCCTGGAAGGGAGGTCGGGGTCACCGCAGGGGCTCATCAAGATGAGTGGGCGTGGGTGGAGCGGGGGAAGCAGCGTGTCCCACCCCCCCAGCCCCGGGCACCACCGGCCTGCCTCTGCCCCGTGACAACCCACAGGTGTGGCAACAGCATGAGGACGCCCGCCCACACCCGTACCTCGCCCGCCGCTTCTGCGGTCCCTGCCGAGGTCTGCGCCCCCAGTGTGTCATCCGCCGAGGCCAAGAGCACCTGCCTAAAGAGATGGGGTCAGCAGGGCCTGCGCCCCACACCTCCCCCCGTCCCGCACCAAGCTGCCACCAACCCCCCACCCCCAGGAGCCAGGCTCGAGGCCCAGCCGGGTGGCCACGCAAAGCCATCCCCCGACCTCACCTGCAAGAACATCGCTCCTCAGAAGCAGACAAGGCACTCTGAGGTCATTTCAACTCAAGAAAAAGCAAACCACAAGGATCCATTTATCCTTTTTACCAGGAAACTGCAACAGCAGCCGGTGCTGGATGGCTGGGCACACCCTTGGCCACTGAGCGGCGTCCCCGGGGAGTGGGGACAGGCCTGAGGCGGGGCTCACGCCGGGAGACGGCTCCCCCGAGCTGCGCTGCGGGAATCCTGGGGCTCTCGGCTAGGTATCTTGCTAGACCTTCCGGATGCATCACAGGGAACGCATCTCAGACAGCGTGGGCACCCCCTCCCCGCTATTCCCGAAGAGCTGTGGCAGCTGCCCTGGGGCCCCTGCTCAGGGCCGCAGGTGGCATCTCTGGTCTCGCACCCACCACTGCCACCCCGTGCTCACCGGCTTGGAGACAAGGCCTCTGTGGCCGGCCCGCTCTTGGGGTGCTCTGGGGGCCGGGCCTCTCCATCACCTCCGGTGGGGTTACGGTCTGGGTCGTCCAGCTTGTCCCGGTCCAGGCTGTTGGACCCGCAGGGAGGGGGATCGGGACCCTCGCCCGCCTCCACGAGGGCCTTTTCCTCCTTTTCCTGCCTCGCCTCTGGTCTCCTCAAGGGAGGTCTGAGAGCCGGGGTCTTCCCTCGTTTCCTCAGTGGGGGTGGCCTTTTGATGGTGGCATCAGAGAAGTCAAATTCCAGCCTTATGGGCTCACTCCTCAAAGAGTTGGCCGTTTGGCCTTCGGCTTCCTCCTTCTGAGGACTGGGGAATGTGGGGCCTCCAGCCTCCACGGGGCCAGCTGGGGCCTCGCTAGGCAGGTCCACGAGGGGCTCTGCTCCGCGGGCTCCGCCGGGGTGGGTACCAGAAGCTGAAGCGGCCCCAGTAGAGGGCGCAGGGACCCCGCTCGAGTTTTCTCCTGTGGCTCTCAGCGGGTCCTCTGTTCTGTCCTGGGATGCCATCCCGGGAGGGTCTTCTAGAATTGTAGAGGTAGAGGCAGCACTTTCCTCTAAGGAATGAGGATGGATGTGTTCTTCCTGGGTGGTCTCATGGCTGCCTGACGTTTGTCCTGGAGATGCCTCTGGGTTTTCAACACTTTCGGGCATCTGAGAAGAGCTTGCAGGATCCAGGCAGGCCTGGGGAGCCAAGGAGGGCCCGCTGCAATGCCTGTCGTCAGAGGCTGGTCTCATGTCCTCTGAAGGGGGGTTGGCATCGGCCACTGCTGGTTTCTGGAGAATTCCATTGGTCGTTCTAGTGTCTGTTTCCTTGGTGAACTGTTGGCTTTTTAGAAAGACGTAGTTAACACTAAAGAACCAGTTAGGTTTTCAGTTAGATTTTAGTCTACGTGAAAACATTAGCTAAATACAGGAAAAAAAAAGAGCATTTGGTCAACTCTCTCCTCAAGATTAACCTTCACAAGTACGTTCCCACAAGTCAGTGCTGGTGGGCCACCTAGAGACACAGGTGACTGAGAGAGAGGAGGAACCTGACTGACAACAGCCAAGGTTGAGGTCCTCCATGCCAGCCTATTTTCCCCTCTTGCTTGGGGACCACCAGCTACGCGGCCAGGGACAGTCAGGGCACACCAGGGTCAGGCTTCCCGCTGGAGAGAGAAAGGCCAGGTCAAGGACTCTGGCAGCCCCAGCCCCTGGGTCCTCCTGGCCCCTCCACGCCCCTGCTCTGTGGCTGGAGCAGCTCAGACCCAGGGGCCAGGAGGCAGCGTCTGAACAGCTGGGTTTGGCTTCACAAGGAGCAGGGCCCAGCCCCCGGGTCCTCCTGGCCCCTCCCACGCCCCTGCTCTGTGGCTGGAGCAGCTCAGACCTGGGGGCCAGGAGGCAGTGTCTGAACGGCTGGGTTTCCCTTCCCTCCTGGGGATTGTTACAAAAGAACAGTATTTGAGTCACTCTAATCTCACTCAGTTGAATCTCTAAATGAAAACTAAAAAATTGAAGTTGAAAAGTAGCAAGGAAACCTGGGGAGAGGGGGAGATTCTGGTTTGAGGAGTTTCCAGCCACAGGGAGATACTCGGCCCAAGGACATTTCAATGGAGCGAGGTGAAGAGTACATTAGTGACCTTTTGCTTTTATACCTTTCTCTGCACATCTGAAATCCGTTTAAAAGAAAAAGCAAGTTTTAAACAGTTTAAGTCAGCAAAAGTCAGAATGAAATGTGCCAGCGAGGCCCCTTCCCACTCTGGATGCAGAGGGTCCCTGGGGGCGCCAGCCAGGTTAATTCAGCCTCATCTGGGGGTAAAGAGCCACCGCCAGGGTCCTCGTCTCCAGACAGAGGCAGGAAAAGCCTTGGCATTCACACTGTCGACCACCTCACGCAAGCCAACCACCTAATGGCAGGCGAGGCTGCAAAGAAGCTTCTGCTGGTTAAAGTCAAGTGTTTCAAATCTGACTTGTCAGGCCACACGTGTTCTGGTCAGATTACACAACAGACGGGTTCCTCTGCCTTTAGCAGTAAGAGCTATCTGTAAGCTTTCTCCAGGGCTTGCTGCTGAGGACAGGAGACAGACCTGCAAGCAGGAGACCCCAGTGGAATGCTAAAAAAGAAGCAGGGCTTCCCTGGTGGCGCAGTGCTTGAGAGTCCGCCTGCCGATGCAGGAGACGCGGG